TGTGTGTGTGTGTGTGTATGTGTGTGTGTATGTGTTTCTTAATTCAGCATAGTTGGAGAGAAGACCTCAGCTTGCATCAGATTCTCATGTCTTTTGATGAAAAGGCCTCCTCCTCCTTCCACTTCTCAACTAAAGAGAGGGTGAAATCAAGGGAGCTAATCCTAAGCAGAATCTTCTATAAAGTCAAGGCTGTAAAAGTCTTGGCAGCCAGCATATGAAAGGGTCCATAAATGTTATTACTATTACTTCTCTAGCCAAGTGCTTCATTTTTAAAATTTTTTTCAGTCTCACAACAATGCAACAAGACACAGAAGTCCCATATCCTATGTATGAAAAAACTAAAACTCAGAGGCATTGAGTCACTAACCTAAGGTCACACAACTAGTGGTAGAGTTCAGAACTATCTAATTCCAAAGCTTGGATTCTTCCTCTCTAAGCTATGGCCTAAATTACTGGCTAAGCTTTCAGTCTAGAGGCAGTTTCTCTGCAGCAGTGAGGTTCACATATCAGAAGCCCCAGGGCCCTGCCCTCTCCCTGACTCTGTCCATCAGAACAGGCAAGGAGCCCAAAAATGAGACTCTTAGGGCCAAGGAATAATCTGCTTGCTTATATAATATGGCCCCAATCATCCTACTCAAATTCTACACTCAAAGCCAATTTCTGTTTCAGGATATTGAAAGTTAATTAAAGAAAGAAAACATAGCTAAATAATCCCTTGTCTTTTCGGTGTAGCCAAGTCCAAGCCAGAAGGGAAGAAATGTGTCCTAGTAGTCACAAATGACAAAAGCCAGAAAGCTTTAAACTAAGTCTACTATCTTCTGGTTTCCAAGTCCAGATAAAACCTTCAGTTAACTATTGGCTACTGAAACACCCTTCCATCACATGAGAATCGTGGCATATGCACACACTGAGCACTTCCTATGCCGCTGTGCTTTACTTCTATTATCTCTATCTTTTAAAAGAGTCAAGCAAGCTCGATGGATGACACTGCTTGTGAGGTTAAGCAAGTCCCTCAGGTTCACACAGACAATAAGTAGCAGAATCAGGATTTGAACCTAGGCCTATCTGATGACAGTGTGAATCCTGTTAAGCCACATCCTCCCACCCTGTGGACACAGCTACTGTGATTTATGGTACCTAAGACCAACATCATTTCTTTCTTTTCCCTGTGCAGAAAAAAAAAAAAAAAAAACTTGCTCTGAAATTTGGCTAGTCTCTTGGGAGGCGGGCCATGGAAGCATGACAGATGAACTCTGTAATATAAATGGAAGGTGGTTCCAGGTTAAGCTCTGCCACTTACTGCCGCTGTCACCTTGGGGCAGATCAGTTAAACTTCCAAGGCCAGGGTTTCTCACTTATCAGGTGCAGATCATTGTAGTGCTCCACATCCTAGAGATCTAGAAGCGAATAGGAACCAAGGTGCAGCAAATGTTAATTACCTTTGACCCTCCTTAAGACACTGACCGATCTGAGAAAACTAGGTAGTAGCCTTTTCTCAGCTTCAAGTGAGCCTTCCACTTCAGCCTCGCGATTAGCCAGCTGGTTTTTCTGAGTTCCTGGCCAACACTGGAGCTCTACCAACGCTACCTCCTTGCGCTCTGCTTACATTTCCCCTTCCTTTCAGTAGTTCTTCTGCCTGACCTGGAGGGCTGGTCTTGACTGCTCCGACTCTGGCTACTTTCCTTCTGATTTCTGGGTACCAAGATCTGTCTCTCCTCAGTACCCCACGCATCAGGGCCGAGCGTTTAGCTCCGCTGTTCCAAGCTCTGGAATAGCCGCGAGTGCTCACGGAGAGGCGCGTCCCGCCTTCGGAAAAAGGGTGTGACGGGAGAGTTTAGATAGGAGGCGCCTACTGTGGGGAACACCCTGCCGCCCGCAGAGCTTCCTTTACAGTTCAGCCTCTTCACCAGAGCTGCGCGGGGAATCGCCAGGGGCTTCTCGGCACCGGGGCACCGGGGCTCACGCCCTCCCACCGGCTCCACTCGAGCCCGCCCACCATGAAGTCTCCCTTCTATCCATGCCAGAACACCACCTCGGTGGAGAAAGGCAACTCAGCGACGATGGGCGGGGTACTGTTTAGTGCGGGCCTCCTGGGCAACCTGCTGGCCCTGGGGCTGCTGGCGCGCTCAGGGCTAGGGTCTTGCCGACCGCGCCCGCGGCGCCCGCCGCCCTCGGTATTCTACGTGCTGGTGTGCGGCCTGACCATCACCGACTTGCTGGGCAAGTGCCTGATAAGCCCGGTGGTTCTGGCTGCCTATGCGCAAAATCGGAGCCTGCGGGGGCTAATGCCTGCGTCCGGCGACGAGTCGCTGTGCCAAACCTTCGCTTTCTTCATGTCTTTCTTTGGGCTCGCATCGACGTTACAGCTCCTGGCCATGGCTCTGGAGTGCTGGCTTTCCTTGGGGCACCCCTTCTTCTACCAAAGGCACATCACCCTACGCCGGGGCGTACTCGTGGCTCCAGTGGTGGGTGCATTCTGCCTGGTTTTCTGCGCACTACCCTTGATGGGTTTCGGGAAGTTCATTCAGTACTGCCCGGGCACCTGGTGCTTCATCCGGATGGTCCGCGATGACTCGATCTGGGTGGTGGTCTACTCCGTTCTCTACTCCACGCTCATGGCGCTGGTGGTTCTTGCCATCGTTCTGTGCAACCTGGGGGCGATGCGCAACCTTTACACTATGCACCAGCGACTGAGACGACACACGCGCTGTGGACTCAGGGACATCGCAGAGCCAGGCGCGGAGAAGAAGGTGGCATCCTCACATCCCTTGGAGGAACTGGATCACCTCCTGCTGCTGGCCCTCATGACCGTGCTCTTCACTATGTGCTCTGTGCCTTTAATTGTGAGTAGCTGGGAGCAAGGTTGTGGGGATCTGGGGCGTGTTGGGCCGCTGGTGCGGGGCTGGAAGGGTGGAACCCCGTGAGCCCGCGCTCGCACAAGAGGAGCTACGTCCTGGGCCAGGAGGGTTTGTCACTGTGCTCCTCAAGTCGGATTCCCTCCACAGCCCTATGATAAAGTCCAATTCGCTGAACGAGAAGAGGGAAGGTCAGGAAAAGGGAAAGAAGATAAATGGTATGTCATGACCCAGCAAAACCCTTTCCATTGTGACAGGACTCCCTCCTGTCTGCTTCCCTCTGGGGAGCTCTCAGGGGCAAAAATCCCTCAAACCTTGGAGAAGTTTGGTCTTTCCGTGACAATACGGTTCCTCTGCTTTTCCTGATGGCTAGGTGAAGTTTTATTTCTTTAGATGTGCTCATGGTTTTAATGGTGTAAGAAATGGACGGATGGCGTCTGAGGGTTCTTCTCTGGGTGTTGGGGTGGAAAGGAACTAAGGGACAGTTTAATTCTTCCCCATTGGTTTGCAGATTTAGTTTGGGAAAACTCGTGAGTGAACTTGGATGCTCTGTTGCAACTGTTTCTGGTGCCACCGCTGGAGAAGGTGTGGTACAGGCTAAGAGGCTGTTTGTATGTGGTTGCAGCTGGTGGTGTCCTTTTGACAACCTGCCTTGACAGGTTTTGTTTCTATTCTGGCAAGTGAGTTGGCATGAAGACCATTATCTTGGGTTTCAAGTTACTGAGGGGTTTGAATTACCTCCAGTATTGAGGGTTTTCATTCCTGGGAGCCCAGACACCTGGAAGTGGCTGGCATAGGAGAAGACTTTTTCAGTATAGCTCCTCCCCCTCTCTCCCACCTCCAATGTACTTGTCAGCAAAAAACTACATTTGAATAAATTGTAATACCTAGCCAGTTCAAAGTCTTTGGAATCAGAGACTTTGGGGACTAGGAAAGTTAATTTCTTACCAGGATATAGCAATTCTGGATGTTATTTTCAATGGGGAATCAAAGGGAGATGTAAAGTGATTTTCCTTTAAATGAAGATCTCAATGTGTGGAGGACGCATAACCTGTAGCACTATCATGCAGGATTAGGATCAGAACTCCATCAATCAATCAGTCAATGTCTATATAAAAAGGCAGAGGTAGACGTAGTAGATAGATTCACCAATGGTTCTCAAACTTTAGCATGCTCAGAATCGTCAGCAGGCTGTAAAAAGGAAGATTACTGGGTCCCACACCCCCAGGATTTCTTTAGGATGTTTTTAGGTTTTTAAAAAATGTTTGTTTGTTTTTGTTTTTCTTCCAGAGCAAGGGGTTAACCTAAACCTCACACATGCTAGACATGTGCTTTACCACTGAACCACGTTCTTAGCCCTAATTTTTATTCTTAACAAGTTTCCAGGTAAAGCTGAAACTGCTGGTTCAGGGATGGCATTGATGGAACCACATTCTAAACAGGAGTTGGCAAACAAAAGCCCACAGGCAAAGTCTGCCCTGCCCGCTATTTTATGTATAGCCCTGACGTTAATTATAGTTCTTATCAATGAATATTTGCAACCAACCCAGACCTTTAAGTCCCAACTAAGCCAAATTCTATTCCATTAAAAAGTTTTATTCTTCTCCATAGTAAATTTGTATTCTAAAAATTGTGCCTAATTATTATTGCATCCTAAATGTCATCAATAAAAATTGTGGAAATGTATTTTTTCTTTCTCTCTCATTATCTTAGTACTACACATAGTATTTTGCCTCTTGGTCTTTAAGACCTGAAATATTTATTGGTTGGTCCTTTATAGAAAATGTTTGCAGACCACCTTAGTTGAAACCTCACTTAACCTAGGCTCTGATAAAGCAGACATTAGCCAAACCATGAAATTTTTGACCTGAGCTTGAATGTTATAGTAAAAATAACACAGAAAGTAACATAATACAGTGGTAAGAGCATTGCATTTGGACATGTCTCTAAGGAGATTTGAATAACTCATAAAAGTATAGTGAGAAGCAAAGAAAATAATGGACTTGAAGATGATTTTTCTAAAAAAACTTTTGAAGTTCCAAATATGTGTAATATTGATAGAATTCTTCACAAGAATCATCGTTTTCTAGAAAGGACAAAGGTTTTGGTGTAGGACATGGATTTGAATCAGGCTTCATTACTTACTGGCAAGGATTGGCACTTGTTTATCCTCTGATGTCAGCTTTCTCATCTGTAAAATAAGAATAATCATACTGTTTTCTGTAAGATAGATATGAAGATTTGAAATTACACACACACACACACACACACACACACACACACACACACATGCACAGACACACACAGGTGGAATATCCCTAATCCCAGAATCCACATGCTCCAAATCTGAAAATTCTGATAATCAACATGATATCACAAGTGGAAAATTCCACACCTAACCTCATGTGACAGTTTTTTGTCAAAACTCTGGCACACTCAAAATTTGTATAAATTTACCTTCAAACTAAGTGTACAAGGTCCACATGAAACAAATGAAAATCTCATTTAGACTTCCATCACTAAGATATTTCATTATCTATATACAAATACTACAAAATCCAAATAAATAAGTAAATAAATCTTAAATCTGAAACACTTTTGGTCTCAAGCATTTTAAATAAGGGATATATAGCATGTATAATATGTGTGTGTGTGTGTGTATGTGTGTGTCCCCAAACCAGTGCCTGTGTTCAATAATTAACATTACTCTTATTACTAATTATAGCTTACATTTCTTATTATTGCTTCCTGGATATAGCAAATTAATCAAGAGATATATCTCCTTGGGAAATAATGTTATAGTCTAAGGTTATGGTTCTCAAATTCTTCATCATTTCAGTACCCCTTAATACTCTTAAAAAATCATAGAAACCCAGAGGGTTTTTATTTATGTTGATAATATCTATCAGTATTTATCATATAAGATATTAAAACTAAGAATTTTTAAAAATACTATTGCAAAGAAGATATCAAAGTCTACTTCTCATGTTTTAATACAGGTTCAAGGAAAACGGTGAGATTTCAAAATGACTTAGTGAATGATATAAAGTTATAGCGATTTTAGCAAGTAAAACAAAAAAGCATATTAAAAGTAAGAAGTACTAGAAACAGTCTCTGAAAATACACAAGTGTACTCTCAATCTAGAAAGGTCCAAAAAAAACCCAAGAATACACAAGCACAGATTAATGCCATTAGCCACAAAAGTGGTGATGTCATCACATGTTATACAGCCTCCATAAAACTCACTGCACACCTTCTACAGAATGAGAATGAAAAATATAAATAACAGTTTTATGAAAAGTTTTGACTTCTTTGCCACACTCAATGGGTATTTGAGACCTCACACTTGAAAACCACTCATCCAAGGAATGGAACTAGCAACTAGAAAAATAAGCCTATATCCAACTTGTAACATAATTATTGTATTTCATCAGGCCAGTGAAAAATTTTTTGTTTCCAGTGCTGGGGATTAACCCAGGGCCATAAGCATGCTCTGCAAGTACTTTACCACTGAGCTACACTCTCATTCCAATCTTGAGTATGATTTTTAACGTTCACTTCACAATATTGCTGGATTAGAGTAAAATGAGTAGATTGAATTTTCAAATTTGCAATTTTGTACAGCAGGAAATATGCAGAATATGGAATGAGCTTTAGAGGCAGTTTGCAGCACATTCTCTAATGTGAATAATATACTTTCACCAGATTTTTTTTTATCTTAGAAAACCACAATATATTGGAGGTTGGAGGGGGAGCAGAGATGGATGAGAGAGGGTGTGTATGTAGAAATGAGTTATAACTCTTGAGCAGTTTAAAAGCTGGATAACGATAAATACGAGCTTGTGTGATTATTTCTTCCAGAATCCGTGGAACCGGAGAAGTGGTAGAGGACATCCTGCATGCATTGAGACAGATCTTGTGTGTATGCCATTTTGGTGGCAGAAAGAATAAATGAGATGCTCCTTTCAAAGAGAGGGTTAGAAACATATAAGGGATGGGAGACAAAAGAAGGGCCCAGAGGAAAGGGGTTAAAGTAGATTAAAGGGCTAGAGAGGAAGGCACATACTAGGGTGTTATGATGATGAACTGGGTAGAAGAGGTCATCAGATGGAGACCTCCCCAGCAGGGATGGCCTGCCATATCTCCACTTGGTTGGCAATGACAACATTTTCTCAACGACTTCTATGTCCATCAGAAGGTAGTCTTCTCATGCTGTCTTTATATAATTGAACCACTTTTAAAATGCCAGGTGTAGAACAACATTCTTCTAATACAAATCTAGTGACTTGAAAACACAGATAACCCAGCAGGGGTGTAGCTTAGTAGTAGAGCACTGGCCTAGCATGTGTGAGGTCATAGGTTCAGTCCCCAGCAATACACACATACTTTCTCCCTCCCCCCTTTCCTCCCTCCCTCCCCCTTCCTCCCTTCCTCTCCCCTTTCCTGATACATTAATAGAACTGACATGGTAAACACTGCATAGAAATAAAATGATTTGTTGTAATTATAAGAGTATCATTCAGTTACCCAGATCCCACTAATCAAGCATTCTTGCATAATTGGAATTATATTGTGCTGTACTCCACTTTGAAGAGAATGGGGCAAATGTAAAAACAAACTCATGTCAACTGCTTTTTAAAATCAACTTAGTCATAGAGTTTATTGTCATCCACATATTCATTCAGCACACATCTGGTATATAGAAATCCAAGACACTCTGTAGTTTATTGTGGAGATATAAATTGAGAGAAATATCACATGCAACTACATAAGCCCTAAATCGATGATTGGGACCACAGGGAAATTTAGCAGAGGACAGGAGACACTCCAAACTGAAAAAAAATAATATTAGCTAATTATTGAGTCTTATATGCTAGATCCTGAGCTCAAGGTTTTCCTCATACCATCTCACTTCAGACTTCACAAAAATCGCTCAGAAGGTAGGTACAATAATTTTCACTGTAAATATGAGGAAACAGTAATTTCCCTGAAGTCACACATCAGGGGATTCTAATCCAGACAGACCCTAAAGTGGACTGGGCTTAGCTACCACCTCAGATAATTTTGTAAAGGGTATAATATTTGGGGTAGACCTTGAAGGAAGGTATGATCTGAGTATATAATCAGTTTACATATCTGTAATATAGAGATAATGACTGTACTTCATAGATTTTTTTTTTTTGCGGGGGAGGGCTAAAGATAAGATAAATTTTTTAAAGTGCTTAGAACTGTGCCCAGGGACAGTAGGATTTATGTGGGAATTAGTCATTATTATTGCTATTAGTGTTATTAAGCAATAGTTATGGAAGAAGGCATTGAGATGTAAGTAGCAGCTGAGTCCAATGTAGGACATTTTCCTAAAGTACACTAGATTGGGGTGGCTGAGCCTGCTGAAATGCTCCATTGAACAGTATTGAAAAGGCAAAGTAATTGTTATGGGAAGAAGCATCTTCTCCAGGAGATGCTCTTTGATTCCCTTGAATAGGTCCATTCTGCACTTATCCATATCATTTTCTAGTAATACTGCATTTGCATAGTTTCCATTCCATTAGGGTCCATTTGCCTCATTATGGATTTAGAATCTCAGGAGGCATAGGGTGTTTAATGGCAAAAAGAACAAGTGGCCAGCCTCAGCCTGAGTAGGAGGCAGTGGCAGTACTGACCTAGACAGTGTTGGTTTAATGGCAGGAAGAGTTGTGGTCTGAGGCACATTTTAGGGTTTCCAGGAGGCTTTAGGACCTCAGGGAAGACCAAGCAATAGGTAGCTAGACACAGGTAAGTAGGCTTTTATTTATTTATTTATTTATTTTGCATGTTTTTCCTCCCTACCTTGAAAAGAGAATGTCAACCACAGAAAGATAGCAATCTATACCAAGGAGAACTAGGACACTGAGGTGAGCACATGAGGTGAACTATTCCTTTTTCAAGTCACCTCATGTCTTTTCATTGTTGTATTTCCCGTATCTTCACATCGATTTCAGTATTATTGACGCTTTGATATAGGTGATGTTTTCCAAGTGTGACTTATTTCTAAGCAAACTGATAAGAGAGGATAGGAAGCAGGTAGAGAAGAAAGAATTGAATAAAATACAGGTATAAAGATACTAGCTGGAGAGACTGTATTTATGGAAGCGAGGTGACCCTGTATGTGAAAGCTGTCAGTGGGTCTTCATGGTCTGGCCGGGACCTAGACACCAGAGCATGGCAAGTGCAACAGCCACAGGAGGTCCATCAAGCTGGGTCTCCCATATACTCCTCAGTTTCTCCATCTCTCAGACTCCTCACTCACACCTGTCAGCTTCAGTGACCTCACCTACTTATAAATTTACCAAATATGAGTATTCCAAGTTAATCTGCCATGTTCTTACAGAAAGGTAAGTGACATAAAGTGAATCCATTGCTGTCACCAACCTTTCAATATCATAATGGAATGTTTTTCTTCAAACAGTATCGTTCCTACTATGGAGCTGTCCAGGATGCCACTGAAGAATCGGACGATCTTCTAGCCTTGCGTTTCCTGTCTGTGATTTCAATTGTGGACCCATGGATTTTCATCATATTCAGAACTTCAGTATTTCGAATGTTTTTCCACAAGATTTTCATAAGACCTCTTATGTATAGAAACTGGCAGAGCCATTCCTATAAAACTAATGTGGAATCCAGTTTGTGACAGAGGCTTACAATCTCTGGTAAGTTGGAGAATATATCAGTTTCAGATAAAGATTTAAATATATATATATCAGTTTCAGACCCATGATTTTAAAAAAAAGCAAAAAAACCCTTAAATCCTTAAAGATTTTATCTCCCATAACAAAAGCATTGAAACATATTTTCAGAAGTATTTGATATAGTTTGAAAATATGTTGCCACTCTGTATTCAAGAACCATTTCAGTACATTTTTTTCATTTTGTGTTATTAACAACAACTAAAATATTGTATGTTTTAAGCAATGTTAATTGTCTTATAACAATGATATTAATTGTTCCAACATTTGTATCTGGTGCCCCTAATTTTTTTTTTCAAGAAACCTATAGATCTTTATTTAAATATAGTAGAAACACCACTATTTAAAATTATGTGATAAATGTTCTTTAAAAAATGTTCTTTAAAAATCAATGTCTTACCCTATTCATTTCCAGTGATCCCTGAATTATTTTATCTCATTATTACCCCCTGTTTAGTTATTATCCTGGCCAATTGGTCTAGGCAAAGCTTGAATCATAGATGTTTCTTAATGTGGGAATATGACCAGGTTAGGCATTTGGAGGGGTCTTCCCAAGCCACCATTTAGGGGTACTTAGTGTTCAGGTGAAGATGCAAAGCTACAAGTAGATGGGAAGAAAGATCTGACTGTGGCCCACAACTCAGACAAGAAAATATTATCTTTTGAAATCTAGCCTTTTAGTATTGAGGCAGGGGTATCAGTAGGAATCAATATTTGAGAGTGGGCACACAATGTTCTTTCACTTTTGGAAACTCATTTTAGAGGCTTATCATATTGATGGGTTCTTTGGGGGTAGGATTTACTATGCTTCTTGGACAAACACTGATGTGTGGCTTACCAGAGAGCTGTGTTAACTGAGTTCGGCTGTGTGAAGTACCTGGGCATTTGCACAGAGGAACGGGGACTCAGCCAGCCTCAGTTGAAGCTAATGACCATGGCCATAACACCTTCCTATAAAGACCGCTTTCTGCTCTTATGGAGACATGAAATGTTACTGAGGCTCCTGTGGGCTGTGCTTTCACAACTGAAGCAGGACACACCTCAGAAGGAGCTCAATCAAGCACTTTAGTTGGACATTTAGAAGTTTACACAAAGGTTAGCCAAACTGTGACCAGAACGGAAAAGTGGGGAACCACAGCTGTAGCTGAATCGGAGACTCAGCCCCATATGCAACCCGCACTGTCACCTTGGGTAAAACAACTGGGGAGTGGGGGAGGCGACAACAACCAACTAGAGGGTAACCAGCATCTCTGGAGTTCCTTTGTACCCCTGCACACTTGGACTCTGAGGTGGAAAGCTGAGACCTCCAGCCAGCAATCCCTCCTGGGGACAAAAGTATTTACCTTGTTTCCAACTTAGCAGTAACTTCCTTTTTTTCACCTCTGGTTTTGCCCATATCTCAGAGACGGTATTAACCTGGTAATATACTTTTTTGTTGTTGTTGATGGTTTTTTTTTGTATAGCAAAACTGTGAAAAAAAAAAAACCAAATTAGGAATATCAGAAATATAGTTTGAGAGTATGACATGATGAAGAAATTCAGTTGTTTTTCAAGTTTAGCTTTTGTTTGTATGTTTAATGTGTATATGTGTGTGTGTGTGTGTGCATGTGCGTGTGTGTGTGTGTGTGTGTGTGTGTGTGTGTATGTTCATATATTTTTTTTGGTCAGAGGAAGTACATCTTTTTGTCTTCTCCTTTTGAAAAATGTGTTATGATAATTGTTCAGAAAATTTGATAAGATCCTAAATAAATCAACAAACATAATTTTTAAATATTTTGCTCAAGTAATTACTTTTCTTTAAAGGGCTGTGATTTCTGTTTGTAGCAAACAGTTGCCAGCAATATTACTATCTCTAAGAGTATAACAATGTGAATTTTTATATACTATCCTGTTATAATTTATATTACCATAACAAATTTTCATGGTTTATCCAAGGACTTGTTGCTCCTCGTGGTTTCATATGAAATGTCCATATATCATCCTGATGAAATCCATGTCAAGTTAAATCCTACTCTGCAGTAATATTCATTGATTTATTCATTAGTTCATTAAGTTGACACAGATTTTTTTGTCAAGCTACTGATTAGGTGCCGAGGAAAATAAGACTCAGTCCTGGTGCCCAGCTGCTGGGTTATACACTGCCAGGAGAAAGGATTGCAAATAATCGTAAGGCAGTGTAGAAATTCTTAGTAGTAGGTGCTCACACCCCAGACCAGGGGTGACACACAGGGCTGACAGGAGAACTTCACAGGGGGAAGACACTTCAGCCAAGCATTGAAAATGAGTACAAAATTTGACTGACTCGAAATGAAAACTGGAAAGACACACAAAGAGTTTACAAGAGATATGAGGAAACATATATGATTAATAAATGCTGAAAAATATCCAGCCTAATCAAACAAATGCAAAAAACAAAGTCAGATTATCAAAGTCCAAAACAAAAATGTCTCATAAAAAAACAGAGGTTATTGAAAGATGGACATTCATATTCCAGTGCAAAATAGGAGCTTAAAGTGTTTCCTTTATATATTGTTCTAGTAATTCCACTCTAGAGTATTCTCCTAGAGGATAAGCAGTGTTGCTGTCAGAATCGTGCACAAATCTTTTCTTGGTAGCCTTATTTATAAAAGCAAAAGAATGAAGATAGCTTGAAAATGTTAAAGTAAACAAATGTTCAGATATGTTTATTTTTATATAATATATATGCACAGAAACATGTGGCCACTAATAAAGTTTTTTCTCAAATACAACATTAAGAAGAGAGCTTACAATATAATAGTTACAAACATTAAGAAGACAGCTTACAATGTAGTACTAAGTGAAAAGGGCATGATACATCAATTTAAATTATAACTCATAAATGTATATGCATAGAAATACCTTGAAAAAATTAAGCATGAGCAGAACAGGTGTTGCATGCCTGTTACCCCAAGTACTCAGGAGGCTGGGGTAGGAAGAGTGCAAGTTCAAGGCTACCCTGGGCAACTTAGCAAGAACATGTCCCAAGAAATTTTTTTAAATGTCCTAGGCATATAGCTAAGTGGTAGAGCACTTACCTAGCCTGTGGGAGGGCCTAGGTTCAATCCCGAGTGTTGGGGTTGGGGTTGGGGAGAAAGAGAGAGAGAAAAAGAAAAAAATCAAAATGTAAGTGGAGGGTTCTGCGGGGGAGCATGAAACATGGGTATTGTTTTGATGCACATTTCCCCCATAATTCTTTGTATTTTCTAAGATTTAAAACAATAAGTATTTCTCTCACATGAAATTCTTTTTTGTCGAATTCTTCATGACTAAAACACTCAAGGTCACTCCCGGAGGAATGAGCTGCACAAAATAACCACAGAGAGACAGACAAATACCTTTTTCTTTGGGGTCCTGTGAAAGCTCCTCTGACCTTAGGGGTCCATGGAAAGACAGAGAGCGAGTGAGTGCTGAACCCTTTTATTGGGAAAAAGCCATTCAAATTTAGGCAAGGGGTCAGGTTTCAGGGGGTTGAATGCGGCTTAGTGATGTCTGCTGTCAGCAGATTGACTGACATCTAGAAAGGCCACATCCAAAGGCAGAGCAAGAGAAAGGGGACACACAAATGGCATTTCCATGGAACATTCTATCCCCAACAGGGCAAAGGAGTGATATCACAAAGGAACAGGTAAGTGTAGCTCAATCCATGGGGTGACACGCCTACGCCTGAAGATGCATCCTCAACCTCCAAGACTAGGTCAATGTCCAGGTCACTACGAGATGTAGTGATGGTCAAAGCCTCTCCTCTTAGGGAAGGAGAATGCGAATCATTCACAGTGGCCGCCTCCCACACTTTTTCAAAAGAATGAATAGAATTGGCCTGAATAGACCAGGGGAAAGGTGGGAAGGAAGAGCTTTCAGGTCTAAGGCAAAGGCACACAGAAATAAAGGAAGGGCATGCCTGGGCTTAGAAGCTCTAATTGGTGGACATTTGAGATTTAGGACCAAAGGTGGCAAGAGAGTGGCTGAAAGAGTGGCAGGTTTCACATCATAAGAGGTGTCCGTATGGCAGTGGAGAGCTGGAACTCTGTGAGACCCAAATAATTGCTGATGACTGAAGGCTTTGAAGGCAGGTGGAGTTGGGGGAAGATGAGACTGGTGCTCTGGCTTGCAGACAAGGCAGCTGGGGTGATCCTACAGACCCCAGGAGCACTTGTGAGTCCCTGCACTGGACCAGGGCTCTGGGCTAAGGAAGAAAATGAACTGAAGTACAACCTATCCCTCCCTGCTTGCCCTTTTGTGGGCTCCACCAACTAAGACGAGGGGGCCTCTTTTTGATCATGTTTATACTTGAAGAGGGACACAAAGACTTCATATGTGCAGGCACTAGGGATTCCCAGCTGCAGGGGAAAGAAAGAGGCTAAGAGGAGCTGGATTCAAACACAAATTGCACACAGTGTGCAGTAGGTACAGCTGACACGATCCCTCCTCAGGACTCAGTCATGGCTTTGGTTCTTTCAGTTGCATGTACTTGACCATTTTCTGCTTCTTGGTTTTAATGTAATCAGGAACAAGTTAGGAAAGGAAAGAACTTCTGAAAACACAGCATGTTTGTCTGCCTGTTCCCTTGTCCACCCCACTTCCCAGTTTATCTGGACAATATATTACAGCTGCTGATTCACATGGAGCCTCTAAGTTATCTGTGAACTAATTGTATGCTACCCAGCCAGGTTAGAAAAGAGTCAGTTGTTAGGACTGGTTAGTCCCCAAAATCTCTCAAAGGCAAACTTCGAAAGGTATTCTTGAAGCTTTAAAAGAGAGAGGAAAATCCCACAAACACAAAGCACTTGGATGACCCTAGACACTCAGTAGCCACACAGCCTTCTCCATCTGCTCATTGACTGAGGTGCTTCATGCTTCAGGTCAGTGCATCTCAAAGTGTGGGCCCTGGCAAGCAGCAGCAGCATCACCTGGAATGCATTAGAAAGGGAAATTCCTGGGCCCTACCTTGGACCTATTGAATCAGCATCCCTGGGGGTGGGACCTCTTGTAATTTCTTTTTAGAGTCCAAGATCTCCGGTGTGGGTGTTCCTCCAGGTGGAGCAAAGCTGAGCTCAACAGTAAGTGGGATACTGTAATTAGGGCTCCCTTTTTCTGTCCTTGCACAGTTGCCTAATTCAGTGGTGTTAGAGTCTGTAAACAAGTCAGGATGGCGCCTGGCATTTTGCCAGGGGGAGTGGTTTGTGAGGTGGTGCCAGTGAGCCATTAAGTGTGGAGATTCCTTATTGGTTGACTGCTGTATCTAGTTTATGTTAATTAAGATAAGCTGTGTGGAATGTATATATACGGCTCCTGTCCTACAATAAATGGCTCTCACTCCTGCTGTATCAATGTACACAAGTTATTCGTTCCCCCCCCCCCTTTATTTTGCTGCAGCCGGACTGCAGCAAATGGAAAGAATCAGCTGGCCTCACCCACTATGGGCAAGGTCAACATTCCAATCTTCCAGATAATTAAAAAAAAAAAAAAAAAAACATGAACTCAGGAGTCAGTCTAGTCTGGACAACATCTGCAGTGAAGTTGTTAAGCACCTATTATGTTCTAGCTACTGAGTGTGTGAAATCAAAAAGGGGAAAATGAAGAGATGAATTTGTTTTATTATTATTGCTGTTGTTACTTAAATGCTAAGACCAGAGTCAAGTAAAATCTAATAGGTGTATTTTAAGTCAAGTTTGCAGGGTCTTAGGATGATCTACACTCCTAGAAAAAATATGGAATCTAATTGGAAATACAGGATGAATGAAGTTAAAGATCATACAGTCTCCTGCAAATGTTACCAAGTTTTGGAGGATGGAGCATAAATTTTAAACCAGCAAAGTCCCAAATCAGAGATAATTGATGTTTAAGATTAGTCTAGCAATGCATTGTATAGGCACACCTGGGCAAACAATGAAGTTGGTACCTTGCCAAAGCCAGCTTCTTATCAGCACAAAATAGAATGAGGAAACAATAAACATCACACAACATAATGAATTAGAAGACTTCTTTCATTCCCACAAATCTAAACCACCCAGAGTTCTCAATTAGGTTTTAAAAATGCATTTTATAAACGAGTATGATTGACACATCCAAAATAAAATGACTCCCCCCAAAAGAGATAAAGATAATAATGAAACCAAAATCTATCCTTCAAACATAAAGTAATACTAGACAAAGTAGAATTAAGCCAGAGAATTTTAAATAGTTAAAAAATCAGTACGTAACTATATTGTGAAACATGCATAATCATATTTACAGCAATCCAATTCACAACAGCTAAGTTATAGAACCAGCCTAGTTGTCCATCAACAGATGGAGTGATAAAGAAAGTGTGGTACATATACACAGTGAGGATTTATTTAGCCATAAAGAGGAATAAAATTATGTCATTTGCAGGAAAACGAATGGAACTAGAAAGTATCATGTTGAGCAAAACAAGCCAGAGACTCAGAAAGCCAAGGGTGGTA